AACGGTACGGAATCAATGTCATTAATACGAAATTACCGGAATGGTATTGCTCAACTAGACTGTCAACTAACGTTATCAATTTAAGAAGTAGATAACATGGAGAACCTGAGCTTGTTGGAATTAACAGTTTCGTTTCCTTTTAAGCGCTAAAAGACTTACACCAAAAGCGAGGACGTATGGCACAGCAAAGAATAACTATGCTAGATAGACTCATCAATACAAACACACACACACACACACACATACACATACACACATACACACATACATACCAATATGAACGCATTTATTTTGTTGCGGATAGTTTTGTATTAAATTAAGCAGAAAAGAGAGTGATTCAGAATAAGAGGAAAGATGGCGCAATTGTACACAAATGATTATAAACAATATCATCGTATACGTGATGTAACCAATGCAGCGAAAAGAGAAGAGTAATTTAATTAAATCAATCTTCCTAAAACAATGAACAAAAATAAACTTATCAAAAGAATTCAAATTTAAATGATATTTCATTAAAAAAATCTTTTTCAATAATTTATTGACAATTTTAATCAAAAACATTTAAAATACTAAAAATTGAGCACTAATATATGAATATTTTTTTTGCTATAACTTCAAGTTAATTAATTACTGAAATGAAATGGATAATAAAGGTAATCGTTGGAAGAAAGTGAAAGTTCCTGAAATCTCTAAGATTCTAAGAAGAAGTGAAATTGTAAAAATCGTTTCATCAATGCTTACATTTTTAGGAGTATTAGTAATTTAAGATTGAAATTATTCACAACTGTCAATTATGTTCGAAATTTTTTCTTCCTTTAAAATTAAATTGAAATAATTCAATTACATATAGGAAGTCATTCTTGAGGTATGCGAGAAACCATACGATATAAAACTGTCCAGCATGCGTGTGCCCTGATAAAATCAAATCCTGATAAAATTAAACATTTCTTTTTAATTCCTAACTGAATAGTAGAAGGCTTTCTAGTGCAACGAAAGTTATGTGATTCATATATGCTAAGATTAGTGGTATATTTTCAACCGAAATATTTGGTGTTTGATGTTTTTCAATCGAAGTGTTTGGTTTTGGTGTTAAAAAAGTTTTTGAAATGTGAAATTTTTATTCTTAAAATGTCCGAATTTTTATTATATTCAAAATGTTCGAATTTTAAGATGTCCGAATTTTTATCATATTCTAATTCTTTTTTTGGATAAAAAACAAATTAGTTTTAAAAATTCTATATCACTTTGCAATACTTTTTTCTCATCTCTTGAGATCATTTTTGTAAGCAAATATGGCTTCTTTATTTTATCTCATATATAAATATCAATTCCGTAACTTTTTTACCAAGCAAATGATATGAGACGATATCAATCGATAAATTTCCATAATTCATTATCAAGCAATGAGACAGATTTTCCGCTTCGCGAATTTATTTGAAAAAAGATACCAAAATTTCAAAATATACTATCGAATATTTTGTTGGTTATTATACGCAAAAACATGCACAGCTCTGTAATACCACAAAATCCCATACTAAAAATCTTTTTCTTCTTGGTTTTAATTTTTGATTCATTGAACTGTTTGCCTTTAGCTTTTATGATTTATTCGTCAGCTTCTCCAAACTACTATTCTTACCATTAGGATTATACGTTCAACGACAATTTAGTCAATTCAGCTATTAACTTTTGCATCTGAAAAATTTTCCTAATAATACATCTAAAAATTTCTCATATATGTACTTGAAATGTAAGTGAAAACTAATAATTAGCGTTATTTACTTCTTTGTATGTAACCTAATCAATGTTTAAATACTTTTTGTACATTACTGCTCCCGATGATTTCCATCTTCTACTTCACTGTGTGGAACGTTTTTGAAGGGATAAAAATAAAACATTTCATGAAACATGTAAAACACAATGTATCGAAATTTTAAACGAGTCAATACCTTAAAATATACCATACATATAATAAACGATATTGCCCCAATATTTATTATCAATTTAAACATACCACATGCATTCTTTTTAAAATAATATGAGTTCAGGATATCAGTTATAAACCAATGAAGGAAAAATATTACTGTTGCAAAGTGAACAGGAAAATCTTGGTAATTGCCTTCTGCAGAGGGACAGTAAAAAAATAAAATGTTTTAAGAACATTCACTTCGTATCAAATAATTGTCCTTGTAGAATTTTTTCATATTAATGATAAAAGGATGAAGACAATAAGGCCTTTCATCATTAGGCTATATTCTGATCCAGCCAAAGAATTTAAAATCCAAGTAAGAAGCTTTAATGCTTAACAGAAACATTGAGTGATACAACAATTGTGAAATAGCTTATTTGTATGGTACTAGAACTTCTTTCAGTCATGCTCTGACATTAACATGAACAAAGATCAAAATTTTTCAGAACTTAGTATAATGTCTGCGAGGTTAATGAGATGGCGATGTTCGTGTGTACTTGAGAAGAGATAGGGAATTACAGAGAAGCTTAGAGCCGATTTATGCAGCAGAATTGGATGCTAGCCTGTGTAAAACCACTGCGAAAACATACTAAAATAAATCAAAAAGCTCTGAAAAGCGAACAACATATTTTGAGAGGAAAATCATTCAATAGTAATGGCGGAGGAAATCAATCACACTTACGCGATCGTTCAAATTGTTACCTGAATTCGGCTACGGTAGTCTAGACAAAAATCGATGCAGCAGTGAGATATACTACAAAAGTGAAATAAATATCGAGAGATTAACAGAGCAAAACAAAAATGCTTAATTAATTTCGAAATTCAAATTTTGATAAGAAAGTTCTTAGGAAGCTGTTTTTTTTGAAAAAAAATTTCCTCTTCCACACTCTGAGTGTACAACGGATCATTTCGTCACTTTCCATAAGAAATGTGGAAAATAACAAACAAACAAAAAGAAAACAAGTGGCTACCTATCTAAAAATGAAATTTTCAAGACAATAGAAAAAGATGCAAAATATATAAATTTGGTAGAATTAAATTTGAGATAACAAATCTCAAATCAAAGTTGGCATAAACATTTTCACGAAATCAAAATAACGTTGGATACAAAAAGGAAAATCAGAGCACAAGAAGGAGACCATTACCTTAACAGGTTGCGAAACTTTTTCAATGGACATGGTTACCACCAACTTGCTCTTGGTAAACCTGAAAATAAATTAAAATTTCCTTTTGGACATACTTTGCTACTTCCCAAACGGAAAAAAACAAAAGAACTCAATACCTTCTTCGATGTTAGGAATATAAGGGATAGACAACATCGATATACGATGTATAAGTTCGGAAAAAGACTTTAATAAAGTTGAAAAATAAATATGGTGGAATTTGGATTAAACTAATACAAGACTACATTTTACTCGCGAATAACGACTGTAATTAGCTAGAAAATGAGAAATAAAAATCATAATTTTTTGAGCGAGATCTTCATTAAAAGGAAATTACTGGAGTGAAGACTAATACCGTCTTTTAGGAAGGAACGGTCTGATAATTTAGACTTTGCCAGCTAATTACATCATTATTCGACATGAAATCAACTTACTTCAATTATATCATCTTCCTCAATTTCCAGTGTCTTAGGAGTATCTTCATCATTGATTCGCCGCCCATCAAATAAAAAGCGTAGTGAACCAACATCGACACCCATTCGATCTGCGTAAGACTTTTTCAGTTTTCCCATACTTGTGCCAAATTTCACACGAAAATGTACCTCATTCGAGTCCTGAAATAAATTTTGTTTGAAAATATTAATCCTATATACAACAATGCCGATATATCAAAATCTATAATAAAATCGAATTCAACAGAAAGTGAAAGCACAAACATATTAATTTTTGGATTAAATGTTGCCAAAAACAAGTCGTACCTGTCCTACAACCCGCAATTTGATATATTCGGAAGATGAAGCTGGCGGTGGTCCAGAAGCTGAATTATTATTACCAGTAGTTCCTCCTGATGTTTGTGATTCATCAGCCATTGCTTCAAATTCGCTCAGAGAAAATTTGTAACGGTAAAAACGCTCCTTAGCCGGAAATTTCTTTAGAAAAATTGAAAAATCATTTTCGAACCATATTAATCAATCTTATTACGTAAATTCAAGATTAACATTAGTACGCCCATTCCCTTTTATTTCCGAGTTTAAACTGCAAATTAAGAGCCTGATCAGGACGTGGATTAATGGCATAATTTAACAATGGCAGAGGTTCCAAACAATAGTTTACCAACAGAACAACCCCTGCATCTGATGTATAACATCTTGTGACCCCGAAATTAGGATACGAACCCGTCCTCAAAAAGGATGCAGTGTTACTTCACCTAAATGTCGCAATAGTTCCAATTCTTAAGTAGCATTTCACGAAAATAATGCTTTCGATGTGAAATGCTACTTAAGAATTCCAGCTCCATATCTTCCTTTTTCCTTAAGCAGAAATTGAAAAACCGCTTTACTTAATTTGAAAGCTAAAATAAAACGAATTCGTCGATCGGTTGGCATATTTCGTGAAGGGTAAGTGATTCCCGTTGGAACTGGAGTGATTTATCAGATCATCTAAGCCAGCAATACTAGTAGAAAAAATTGGACGTATGCAAAGGAGCTATGATCATGCAAAATATATCCAAAATAACTCAGTGCATAGTTTTTCCACGTTTACGTTATCGCTGAGATTTACAGATTCTTTCCACCATTTACAGATAAAGTTAATGGAATTTTTGAAATCAAATATCGGTAAGACAATATAATATCTAAGATATAAATGAAGTAGGAACAAATGCAGGTTTACGTTCATGCTAGCAAGTACGGGTAGCATTCTAAATTAAACACAAAGATTATAGGACAGATGATAAGAGGTTGATCACATAAAAACATTCCCAGAATAATCCATCATTAACTTCACTTCCCAAATCTCCCCACAATGAGCAGAAATCGACGACGTCTCCAAATTACTGGAAATTGCATTGAATAATGACGAATTTCTCCATTTCACGCAGCTATTGAAGCACCATGATTATTTGACATCTCAATGCAATTGCTATAGTCCCAGGTCAGTGATGACAGGAGTTGTCCCAATGCCTGCAGGATGAACGAGTGGAAGTCACCAATATAGACAAAGATAATTCCGTGGCAGCGAGGCCTTTCTTGTATACTACAAGTCACACGTACGAAACTATCCCCAGAAACCCAACCCCCGAGTAAAATGAGATAAATCGTATCATCCCAAGATTCCTTGCTAGGCCAAAAATTCCTCATCCAAAATATCATATGATGTAATCTGTTAGCTCATTTGTAATCTTTTAAATATCATTTGTAAAAATCTATAAAATATCATTTGATGTAATCTTTTAGTCAATAATCTGACTGACCTAAACCGATACTCCCAGGAACGGCTGAAGAACCGCTACACCCAAATGATTACCACTCAAAGAAATGCTCGGTTCCAAATAATTGTACAAGCATTTGGAAGTGAGACTCTGAATAACAAGAAATACAAAGCCGTTAATGAAATTAGCAAACAGAAATAAGAATCGTAAAATTTAGCTTATTGACTTAAGTGATTAAGAGAAGCCAGAAATCTTGTTCTTGAATTTTGTTCTCGACCTATATGAACTGCTGAAATAGTACTATCTTCACCTGAAACATATAAGACTTCTATTTGAAAAAAGTCATTATTACTACCAATTGCCAGAAGAATTTTAACGGTCAATAGCGTTTTCCGTCTTTCCTTTGTTCAAGATGTAATTATATAATTATAAAAATGATCTATTACATGGGGTGAAAAGCCATTTACAGTCATTGTAATTAGAAATTAAATAAGTTATTACAAAGATTATTTTAATAGTAAAACTAACTCGGGTGCAAAATCATCTTTGGACTAAATAAGTGCCTTTGAAAAGAATGAAGGATGTTCTAATCTGCCCAGCATAAGTAGCATTGAAGTAAGACTAAACAAGTACTCAGGAACAAAGCCGATGGATTTATG